TTTTTTTTTTTTTTTTTTTTTTTTTTTTTTTTTTTTTTGCTGCTGCAGCGTTCTCGTTATATAAAAGTAGTCCCTGTACGGTCTCCTTGGCCTCTTGAAGGAGCAGCAGCAGCAGCAGCAGCAGCTGCTGCTCCTGATGTCCCCTCTCTACCTCCTCATGAAGCAGCAGCAGCAGATGCTGGTAGTCTCCCCTCCATGTCTCCTCATGGTGCAGCAGCAGAAGCAGCAGCAGCAGGTGTCTCCTCGCTGTCTCCTCGCCCCTTTCCCTTCCCTCAGTACCAGCACCAACACATGCAGCAGCAGCAAATGCAGCAGCACATGCAGCAGCACATGCAACGAGAAATGCAGCAACACCTGCACCAACAAATGCAGCAGCACATGCAGCAGCATCTGCAGCAACACCTGCAGCAGCAAATGCAGCAACACATGCAGCAGCAAATGGGGCAACAAATGCAGATACAAATGCAGCAGCAAATGCAGCAGCAGATGGAGCAGCAAATGCAGCAGCAGGGACATCATTACTTACACCATCGGCTACACCCGCAGCAGCACCACCTGCAGCACCACCTCCTGCAGCAGCAGCAGCAGCAGCAGCAGCAGCAGCAGCAAGAATTTGATTATGATAGTATAAACATCTTCAACTACTACCCATATGAAGCAGCAGAAGCAGCAGCAACAGGTGCAGCAGCAGCAGCAGCAGGAGCAGAGGCAGCAGAAGCAGAAGCAACAGCAGCAGCAGCAGCAGCAGCAGCAGCAGCAGATGACACAGCCGTCTTCTATGATGTCTTCTCCATAGATCATACAACAGAAAATGCATGCAAAGAAGAAGAAGAAAAAAAAGAAGAAAAAGAGAGGGAAAAAGAAGAGGAGGAAGAAGAAGAAGAAAAGGATGAGGAAGAAGAAGAGGAAGAAGATGAGGAAGAAGATGAGGAGGAAGAAGAAGAAGAGGAAGAGGATGAAGAGGAAGAAGAAGAGGAGGAAGAAGAAGAAGAAGAAGAGGAAGAGGAGGAGGAAGAAGAGCAGCAGCAGCAGCAACAGCAGCAGCAGCAGCAACAGCAGCAGCAGCAGCAGCAGCAGGAGATGGTAATATCTGATTGAATTCTATAAGAGGAAGAACATCACTAGCTGCTGCTGCTGCTGCTGCTGTTGCTGCTGCTTCACCAGCAACTGCAACAGCAGCATCAGCAGCAACTGCAACAGTAGCAAATGCAACGGCAGCAAGTGCAGCAAATGCAACAGCAGCAACTGCAGCAAATGCAACACCAGCAACTGCAGCAACTGCAACAGCAGCAAGTACAACAGCAGCAACTGCAGCAGCAGGAACTGAAGCAGCAGCAGCAATTGCAACAGCAGGAACTGCAGGAGCAGCAGCAGCAGGAACTGCAGCAGCATCACCTGTAGAGTGTATACAGTAGTGATTATATGTGTGGGGTGTATAGGCAGCTGCGTATACACCCGAGAAGTTAGGTGTATATATTATTATATATTATTTATTAATAAAAAGATATTAATATTATTATTAATATTATTAGTATGCCTTTTATTTAAGGCCCTTTTGCTGCAGCAGCAGCAGCTATTTGCTGCAGCAGCAGCAGCAGCAGCAAATTGCTGCTGCTGCTGCTGCTCTCTGCATGCGTAGAAGCAGCAGCAAATTGTTATTGTGTCTCTTATGTGTTACACCAACTCCCCTCTTATTTCGCTGAGTCAGCGCATCCATAGGCTGCAGCAGCAGCAGCAGCAACTGCAGCAGCAGCAGCAACTGCAGCAGCAGCAGCTAAACCATTTGAAACTGTACCAACAGCAAATGCGGCAGCAGCAAATGCAGAAGCAGCAACTGCAGCAGCAGGAACTGCAGCAGCAGTACCTGCAGCAGCAGCAACTGCAGCAGCAGTACCTGCAGTACCAGTAGCAGCAGCGCAGCAGCAGTACCTGCAGCAGCAGTACCCGCAGCAGCAGCTGCGCAGCAGGAGTACCTGCAACAGCAGCTGCAGCAGCAACTGCAGCAGCAGCAGCAGCAGCAGCAGAACCATGCCGTTTAAGGGTAGTGATTCCCTTGAGGTCTAAAGATCTCCTTTAAGGCATTAATAAAAATGGGGGGTATAGGCAACTTATTAATTTATGGTTACCTAACTAGCTTGCTAGCTAGCTAGCTAGCTAGCTAAATAGCCAGCTAGCTAGCCAACTAGCTAGCTAGTCACATTGTGCAGCTAAATAATTCTGTAGTTTGTCCGTTGGCTAGCCAGCTAGCTCGTCAGCTAGTCGTATAGGTACCCAGCTAGCCAGCCAGCTAGCTAGCCAACTTGCTGGCTAGCTTACCTAGCTACCTAGCTACTCATCTAGCTAGCTGAGTAGCAACATCAACAACAGCAACAGCAGCAGCAGCAGCAGCAGCGACAGCAACAGCATTTACATGCATGCATGCATGCAGCCCCGTTTGCTGCATGCATGCATTCGATTGTTATTATATCGTGTGCATGCATGCATGCAAGGAAGGAAACTAATAATTGCTGCTGCTGCTGCTGCTGCTGCTAATTAAGGAATAAATAAAATAAAATAGATAAAATAATTATTAATGTGCATGCATAAATATAAATAAATGGCTATCTAGCTGTGGGGTGTATACGCACACCTGCGTATACACCGTAAATATGTATTTATATTTATTTATTATTATAATTAATAAATATAAATATTTATTTATTAATAAAATAAAAATAATTAATTAAATGTGCATGCATGCAACGGTTTATTTACAGCAGCAGCAGCAACAACAACAAGAAAAACAGCAGCAGCAGCAACAATAGCAGCAGCAGCTGTTTTGGGGCTTGCTATAATATCGCAGCAGCAGCAGCAGCTGCTGCTGCTGCTGCTGCACACTGCAGCAAGCTAGAGAGGTTTATTAGGGGATAATTTTATTCTTTTTTATTGTATAAATAAGAATAAAATAAATAAAAATAAATAAATAAATAAAAAATAAATAAATAAATAAATAAATAGGGAAGGAGTAGAGGAGGAGGAGCAGCAGCCCAACAACAAGAGACGAGAGGCCCACACAACCGAGAGCTACCGTTGCTGCTGCTGCTGCTGTTGCTGCTGCTGCTGCTGCTGCTGTTATTGTTGGCTTGTTGTATGCAATAGAGGAGCAGGAGGAAAGAAGTAATATTTATGTATAAATATAAATAATAAATAAATAAATAAATAAATAATAATAAAAAGAATATAAAAAAGAAGAATAAAATATATTTTTGTTGTTTTTTTCTTAATAAAGATAAGAAGAGAGACGGTTGTTGGTTGACGGTCAGTTGCTGCTGCTGCTGCTGCTGCTGCTGCTGCTGCTGCTGCTGCTGCTGCTGCTGTAGTAGTTGTTGACTACTCTACTACTGTCTGTTGTTGTAGTAGTATTGATGGATGTATTGGTGCTCTTGTGCGTATTTGTTACTTCTTTTTTGTTTCTTTTTTTATTTTATTTTATTTTATTTTATTTAATTCATTTATGCAGCAAAGAGTAGCAAACAGCAGGAAACAGCAGCAGGAAGAGTTGGGGTGTATAGGCAGCTTCGAGCGGTGTTATGTTTGTTAGGATTTGCATGCATAAAATAAATTGAATTTTTTCCTTTTAATGAATAAATTAATGAATAAAATATAATTATTTATTTTTATTTAATTATATTCTTTTTATTTATATACATATATATATAGATATATATATTTATTTATATATATATTTATATATATACATTATATACATTATATATATATATATATACACCATGGGGAGGAGGAGTATAAATAAGTGTCCTAATAATATACAATTATTGAATATTCTTGATGATCAACAGGAGAAGGAGAAGAAGGAAGAAAAAGGAATAAAAATAATAAATAAAAGAAGATATATATCTTCTTCTGTATTAATAATAAATATAATAATATGTATAATAATATTATTATTTTCTTCTTTTTTCCCTCAATCCTCATTAGCCCAACCAACAACACCACCAACACCACCAACAACAACAACAACAACAACAACAGTATCTCCTTCTTCCTCCCCTAATAATAATAAATATCCTTCTTCCTCTCCTTCCTCTCCCTCTCCTTCTTCTTCGTCTCCATCCCCATCAGGAGGAGAAGAAGAAGGAAAAGGAAAAGAAATATTATTACCTAATAATAATGAATTAATAGAATGGTCAGATTCAGAGGAAGAGATAATAAATAAGAGAAGAATAAATAATAATAATAATAATAAGATAATAATATATCCACCTCCTTTACCATTAATACGTCGCATGCAAGCCCTAAGATTATTTGAATTAGTACATCCATCCTTAACTATTCATTATTACGGATTCTCCCTTAAAGGTAATATTATTTGTTATGATATGCTTAATGAATTAAGAACAGTAAAAGAAGCAAAAGAATTAATGGATATTGAATTCTATTTACTAGATCTAATGTTACAACATTATAAAGTACAACAACATATGCGTATTGTTGATGCTAATATTGTTAAAAGGATACTAGGTATACAAGAGGAAGAGGAAGAAGAGGAGGAACAAGAAGGAGGAGAGGGAGGACAGGGAGGACAGGGAGGAGGAGGATATAAAAAGAAAAAAAAAAAAAAAATGAATATATTTTCACCATTTTATTTTCCTTCTATGATTAGAAAAGTTAGTAAATTTATACGTGAATATGATCCAATATTACGTATATTTCTTAATAGATATATAAAACATATAGAGGTATTAATAATAATAAATGTTCCTTATTTATTAATACCTATATTACCTAGTATAGCAGCAAAAATTATGAATATACCTTCTTATAAGATTGCTGCTGTACATACAGGAAAAGATCTACATAAATATATACATAATAAATATATACCTAAAGAATTTGGTAATAAAAAGGGAAAAAGTGTTAAATATAATAAACAAAATATAACTGCATCTTGTCTTATGTTACGTGAGGTGTATGTACACCTAGGACATCATGCACTTACTAATGCAGGTAAACATTCTTTCTATGGTGAATGTCGTCAACTTCTTCCTTCTCTTCCTCTTCCTCCTCCTGATTATATTCCTCCTTCTTCTTCTTCTTCTTCTGCTGCACACGAGCAAGAAGACGGCGCACAGCATGAACCTACTACTGCTGCTGCTGCTGCTGCTGCTGCTGGAGTTGAGGGAACAGCTCAGCTTGCAACAGCTAAAAGTTCGGATGCTGATGCTGCTGCTGCTGCTGCTGCTGCAGCTGCTGCTGCTGCTGCAGCAGCAGCAGAGGAGGATATTTCATCTAAAACACAAGATGAAGACTTTGATGATATTGATTAAATAAATTAAATAAAATAAATAAAATAAATAAATAAATAAATAAATATATTTATTTATTTATTTATTTAATTAAATAAATATATAAATATATATATATAAACAGACAAGAAGTCTGTTTTGTTGCACATGCAGCGTCAATCCGTCTTATCTGTCTACATAGCCATTTGTCTATCGCCACAGCAGCAGCAACAGCAGCAACAGCAGCAGGAGCTGCTGCTGCTGCAGCAGCAACAACAGCAACAGCAGCATGAGCTGCAGCAGCAGCATGAGCTGCAGCAGCAGGATGAGCTGCAGCAGCAGCAAGAGCTGCTGCTGCAGCAGCAACAGCAAGACCAGCAGCAGCAAGAGCAGCAGCAGCAAGAGCAGCAGCAGCAAATGAATAACTAAACAAAGGAGTAAACAAACAAATAAATAAATTAATAAATAAATAAACACAAAAACACAAACAATGAGACTAACTCGGGTGTATACGCACATATATATATTCATATACATATACATTTATGTATACATATACATATATATGTAATACATATATACATATACATATACATATACATATACATGTATATATATATATACATATACATATACATATACATATACATATACATATACATATACATATACATATACATATACATATATATGTATGCATCTACATATACATATATATGTATACATATATATGTATACATATACATTTATGTACATAAGCATTGATGTATACATATACATTTATGTATACATACACATATATCTGTATACATACACATATACATTTATGTATACATATACGTATATATGTATACATATACATATATATGTATACATATACATATATATGCATACATATACATATATATGTACAAAATAAATTATGTATATTATATATAGTATATATATTATATATAGTATATATTTTATATATTGTATGTACATTATATATTATTATATATAATTGTATATATAATTATATATATATATATATATATATATGCGTATGTGTCCCTCTTCTCTTGTTTTTGTTGTTTTATTTAATTTTGTTTGTTTATGTTTTATCTTTGTTAATTGTCTGCTTATTTAATTAAATAAATAAATAAATAAATAAATAAATAAATAAATAAATAAATAAAGGTGTCTCCTTATTAATTAAGGTGTCTCCTTATTTATTATATAAGTGTCTCCTTATATATAAAAAGGAGACACCTAATGCCTGCATATATATACACCTTCCTTATATATATATTATTATATACTCCTTCTTCTTCTCCTTATGTATATATAAATAAATAAATATATATAAATAAATATAAATAAATATTTATTTATTTATTTATTTATTTATTTATTTATTTATTCATATAAAGAAGAAAGGAGACAGGAAGATGTTATAGTGGCGATGAGGGATGTTTTCTTGTTTATTTTTCTTCTCTTTTTATTTATTTATATTTTATTTATTTATTTATTTATTTATTTATTTCTTCTTTCTTCTCTTCTTAATTGTGTCTCCTTTCTTCCTTCTTTTCTTTTTCTTCTCCTTCTCCTCCCCCTCCTCCTCCTTCCTTTTCTTCTTCTTATT